TCAATCCCGTACGTAATCCCGACGATCGTGTTGGAAAATGAGCTGGCCCCGATCCAATCACCCTTGTTCCAAAAAATTTCTCATCCCGAAAAAACATTTCAATCCCGAATAATGGAAGACGGTTCCACGTCGTTGACCGTTTAATGAACGTCACGATGCCGGTGAACAAGGCGCTTTCGTCGATTACTAATTCGATCAAACGAATTTTCCATTCCGGGCACGTCAAACTCGGCACGTAAACATACACGCGGATGTGTCATAAAAATAGATCCGTAAGTCGCCCGTAGGTCAGTAGGNGTGATAGAGTCTAAGTCTAAGCTCACACTAGAGTAATTCGTGTGCATCTAATCTGTCATTCCATTCCAGCGGTCCGATGATACCATGTGGCCGATAACCTGGTTTCGGCCGGCGCGAGTCCTGCTTTGGGATGGGATCGGTTTGGCCGTAGACAAGCATTCGTGGCACTCGTCGCCTAATCAACGAGATGCGACGAGCCAAGAATTGATCACGCACCGACGACGCGGCGGTGCAAATCCCGGGTAGCACCGGTTATTTCCCGGTCCGCTGGCCGACGCCTGCCTTGGATTATTCATCGACATTCATCGGGGACAACCTCACCCTTCGATCGAAACTGAACGCGACGCGCAGCACAGTTAGGGTTCTTGCCTGTCCGTGCGTACAAACAGCCCCAACGCTTCAGTCTCACTACCACGAAAACAGCAATTTTCTGCGCATTTCTTACGAGTTTCAACTTCGAGCTTTCGTTAACAGAAGTGCTTAGAATAATTGTTAGTATTTATCTCGTTCCCTTAGCACACAATCATTCAACTGGTAAACAGAAATATTATATAAATCACTTCAAATCACTGATATCGTTTCTATTAAAGATTGCAGGAAATATCACTTTTAATTGATATCGAAGCCTGTTTACTTCAATTATAAAAACGAAGTTCTTTTATACAAACATTTGCTGCTTTTATTTCCAGTTCAGAGTAGATACTAAGATATCAATTACACTGGAATTAATTGGAACACTGAATTGACTCGAGATTCGGATCATGAACGATATGTACGCACAATTCACGATTGTGGTATCGGGACAGAATCATTGAGATTGTTTGTACACTTCGGTTCAGTGACCACTCGGCTCGATCGAAGTGGAAAATGACCGTAGCTATTCGTGCTGCACACTAAGGTTTCAATTTGGATGAGAGGTGATCCATCGAGGACCGAGGATTTGTATCGCATTCGTATTGTGAATGGGGATCCCGTGCCGTGCGGATTTAGAGAAGATCGGCATGCGACTGATGCGACTACACGCGCAGTAGAAAGGGAACGCGCTGGTCAGACACCAAGTCGACGTTGTTTGTTCTTCATTACATGAGTGCTCTGATAGATTTCTTTATTGAAAGAGTCTTGTTTCAAGTTGTAAAAATATTACAGAACTGGATTTGTACATAAATTATTCAATAAAATAAAGATGACGTATTGTATGTATTATTATGTATATAAGCGATTACTTATTCAATAAATGTCCTATTAATTTAAATTGATTTACCGTGTTCTTTTTTTATTTATATGCCATAGAAATGACAGCTGATCTATAAATTACAATTCTAATCAAACATTAAAGATTAATTTCCTCGATGACTCTGAAAGTAGAATAAGACCTTTACCAATCATACATCCAACGATACCGCAAGTTCAAACACGGAATAGCTAGTAGAAGTATACTTCTTATAGTTCCGAACGATGAAACCTTATCAATAAATTAACACCAGTTAGCTTGGCTATCGCTTGGCATTGGAGCGTGGCCGTGAAACATGACATAAGACATAAAAATTCAATCCCGTACGTAATCCCGACGATCGTGTTGGAAAATGAGCTGGCCCCGATCCAATCACCCTTGTTCCAAAAAATTTCTCATCCCGAAAAAACATTTCAATCCCGAATAATGGAAGACGGTTCCACGTCGTTGACCGTTTAATGAACGTCACGATGCCGGTGAACAAGGCGCTTTCGTCGATTACTAATTCGATCAAACGAATTTTCCATTCCGGGCACGTCAAACTCGGCACGTAAACATACACGCGGATGTGTCATAAAAATAGATCCGTAAGTCGCCCGTAGGTCAGTAGGTGGTCGTAAAATTTTTAATCCTCCATTACAAAATACCTTCTCTACTGACTGTAATATTTTAATCGGGAAAAATTTCACGTTCAAATACAGATATTCAATTAAATCCACGTCCATTAAAACATTTTTATTTCTATTAGTACGTCGCATCATCCCGTATAGTTATTTTCATGATAGGTAGGTATATACGTCGTATAACCGCGGCTCCCACGAGAACGCTCGATCTGTCCTCTCAAAAGTTGCTCCACATTCGCGGTGACCTTTTCCAGGGACGGGCCGTTAGAAAATGTCAGAGTGCCGCCTACGGAGAGCCGCGTCTCCGTTTCCAACGAAATGCAATTTCGTCGATCGACGATCGCTTAATCCGAGAAAGAAGAAATTACGGACCGGTGCTCGCGGCCATTGAATTCGCGAGAGCTGACGACGATTTTCATCCCCCTCCGGACCGCGCCGCATCACCGCGGTAGAAAAAGCTATTCATCTCAGGGAAACGAGACGCTAATAAAGCATCATCGGCAGAGAGAAATAAAGAACCTACGAACAAATGGAGGAGATATTAAGGTCCGATAATGGATTCCTCCGAACCGTCCAAGCGTTCCCCGATATTCCCTTTCGCGATATTCATTTCGCCATATTGTTACGGGTGGTCCCGTGCCTCCTCTGTCGCGGTAACGCGTGCTCGTTTCATTTTCCGACCTGCCGATAAGAACTTTTCCATTCCCTAATGAGAAAACAGGCGACGAGGCGCGGCCAGATTCGAGCCTCGGGTCAAAGAAACGCGAGGGTTACATCAAAATGTAACGTAAACCAGCGAGGGGAATAAGGAATGGAAGACCGCGCTGCGCTTCCATGAATTGTATTCCGGACAAACAAGAAAAAATGGGGAAAATACTCTCGGATACCCGGTTCGCTCGTTTTTTTTTAAGCAGCATGAGAAACGGGCTGAGTAGAGAATTTTACTTTCTTGAATAAATAAAAGAACTGCTCCGCGGACCGAGTGTTCCGTTCTCTTAAACGCAGCGGCCATTGCCGATGCAACTTATGGAAGACTTTTAAGGGAATGGTCATTTAAATGAGACTGATAGCTAGGCTGCAATTGTTAGGTTTCGCACAATGCCATTTAAGGCAGCTACTCGCTTCGGAATTATCATTTGTACATTAATACACACTTCACATTTTTCTTCAGCAAATACTTTTAATTAATTTTCTTCAAGACGTTTTTCTCAAGACGTTTAACTTGAAACAAACGTATTTACGTTCAATAATTGACGAAATATCTAAGGATTTCTTTAACCTTGTAACTCCGTGATATCACCTGATAACGAAACAAAGTGCACGACGTACCGTCACGCGATCATCAAGAATTTAATCTTATCTTGGATACGACTAAGCCTGGTGGACAGGTAAGTAGCTTACTATCGCCACCAGCACGAACACGCGGAAACAGCGTCGTCGAAGCGTTGTACGAACGACAACTCGGGACGACCGCATGCCGGGAATCAGGAGATCGATCATTCTCAAACGTTAGCGGTATCGGCATTGACGGTCCACGTAACGAAATTATTGAACGAGCCGGTAGCGGCGAGTTGAAGGAACGTTATCGTGGTAAGTGACCTCGAACGCGATCATTCCACCGCTCGAACGGGCAAATTTTCCCCGTGGCGTAAATCGGAGGGGCACGTTGCATCGAGAAATTAAATCAACACGCCTCGCTTCGTTGATGGAGTTGAAGGAAAACGAAATAGAGAGGGGGAAGCGGGGGTGGTTGGAGACGGTTAGAGGTTTATGGAGAACGAGCTGGTCGAGCGAATGGAGCAGCGATAGAGAGAGACAGGAAGCTGAAGTAGGTGAAGTAAAAGCAAGAGGAAGTAAGGGACACAAGGAGGAAGAGCAACCATGGTGGTGGGGGATCAATTTTAAAGCCGTGACTCACTCGACACGGTGACGTCGTTAGCGCACCCCTTCCGCCTACCCTCTCTTCCACTCCTAAAAAAAAAGGGAAAAAGGAATAATCCGGTCACAACTCTCTCTCCTCCCTCTAAGCGAGAACTAATCGAGGCCAGTGCACACTGTTCTCGAGAAAGAACGAAGCGGCGAGGGGTACGTTCTCGGCTCTCTCTCTCTCTCTCTCTCGGCCGGTCGACGAGCCTCGAGTATTATTTCTGGTATTCGTGTATACCACTGTTACACTGCCGGCTAGACGAGGTAGCGAGGGAGAGTAAGAGGACCCCTCTGGAGGTAGCACGCGAGTTGAAAGCGGAAAAGGGCACCACCGCGAGTCATCGTTGCGCACGATAACACCACCGGCCCCTCGTTACGTCAAAAAAAAAGAGGAAAACTCCACGTACACTGGCGAGGCAGAGTTTTACCTCGCCCATATACTTCACGCGCCAGCAACTCCTGTTTACAGACTCGACCGGAGGGGAAAAAGGAGGAAAACGAAAAAACGCGAAGAGAAACAAGGAAAATCGTAACAGAGAAAGCAAGCGAAGGGTGCAAAACGAGGAAGAGGATGCAAAGAGGGAAGAGTATCCAATGTATCCTCTCTCCGTTCCGCGTACCGGAGCCAGCGTCCCCTCGCCCCAATTACGGTACCCATCGCTCGCACCACCTCGTCCACGCTCGTAATTTGCATCCGACCTCTATTTCCTTCGCAGCCGTCGAACTAAATGTCCCATTCGAAATTGCCGGGGGAACTAAGGACACCGGGAACTTCGCTACGATAATAGGAGATGACGATGGAACGATTGTTCAACGCTCAGTTAATGTTCGAGTGGAAAGCGTTTGAATAACGTCGATCGGAACGAAATGATACGATGCGAAATAAAATCGGTAAAATGCAACGGGAGGGCTGTTCTACTCACGAGGCACGCGATCGACAAGGATCAGGCTCTCGGTTAAGAGACGTCGTCGACTCATGGATCGTCGACCGACGTGCATCCTACACACCGATTCCCCTGTGTTCCTCGAGTTCCATGCGTCGAGGACCCGGATGATCCTCCCGTTGATACTCCCGGCAACACCCACTTTCTCCTCTGGCCTCGTAACCTCGAGGGCCACTTTTCCTTCTCTCCCTTGCCCACCGTCGTCGAACGAGGCGTAGCACAACTCTGACAGCACCACCACTACAAACGGGGACTCACCACCACGATAGGAAGCCACCACCACCGCCACGGTCACCACTACCACCGCGGCCGCCACGAGTAGCAGGCCACCGTCGTGCCTACCGCCCTTAGAGGTACTGACAGAACAGTTCGCGAGCGAACGAGCGATTCCCCGGACCTCTACACCGAGCAACCCCCGTGAGAGTTCATCGCGCACCCTTGAACGATCGCGGCCTCGTCAGGAGTGTCTCTCTGACCGCGGTTCACGTTGACATCCACGAGCGTGCACCCTCTCGAACCTGAGGCACACATGCGGCCGGTCTACGCGGGCATGCGAGGAAACGGATAAAGCTCGGCTCTTCGCGGAATCGTCTCCCTCAACTGGCTATGGCCTATCTACGCGCCTGCCTGCTCTTTCTCCCGTACTCCCGTCGTGGTCGTGGCTCGAACGCCGCCCCCTGGCTCTCTGCGTCCCGCCGCCACGACGCCTCCGACCAGTCACGACTGAAATGTATATGCGCGTTTCTGACACACGCGTGTCCGTGACACTTCCAACCAACCCAGCATGCGCTCTTCTTAGCGCGGCTCCGTTTCGCACGCGCTCCGAATTTCGCTCGTCCATGGTTCGTCCATTCGGCGTCGCTGTTCTCGACGCCGCTACCTAGGGAGTTTGTTTTCAAAAATGTACATAGACAAGGAAACTGGATCATTTTCGATATGAGTCCAAGAAATATAGCCGGACATGGAGCTTTTTAGCGGTCTTCGATATCCTATTAAATGTCGCTAAATGCATTAATGTGAAGAAAATAGAGATTAAAGAGTGTTGATCTGACAATTTATGTCAGTTGATCAGAATATGAATTTCAGATTTAATATTGCTGAAAGAAATTAAGTTTAAGTAATTATTTTTAATCTCGTGCGAAGGGGATGATTTATGCCGATTTCGCTCCAGTAAATAGACTCTACAGTTTTATATTTTTCGAAATGTAGCTGTCTGTATGTACGCACGCGCTATGCAATGTCCATTTCAAACTTGGCGCCGGAATTCAAATTTGTGTAGGGATTTTTACTGTCTGCGCAACGAACTACCTGTTTATCTCGTCTAAGCGCTTGCGCTTTATTTGTTACTTATCAAACGTCCCTTCGTAAAGTTCGCGATGATTTTAGAAGCTTCGCCATTCGTGTTCCTAAGCGAATTTTATATTTGCAAACAAGAACGTTCTTGTTTCACATTTTTCTTGCTATGGTCGTGATCGATTTTCATGGTAACGTTCTGAATCTAGTGTTTAAAATGCAGTGCTCTTTGACACATGCTGTGACCTTCGCGTGGCCTTGAGGTTTAAGGTTAGATCATTCGCTATCTGATTCTTATACATATGACAGACCGCAAATCGGTGCTGCCGTTGAATAGCAGTCGGCATCGTAGAATAGTGTGGAATAGTGTCATGGCGCGGCAACCATGACAGAACGTATATTTCTCAGCAACGAATTCGACACGAAATCTAATATGGTGGGCGGCTTCCGTAGCCAAAGATTCCTAACATTGTTCCTGCTGTTTATAATTACGTTTCAAAGTTTCGTGTGTGAGTATTCTTCTTATACTTCATCATAATTTTGCGTCCTATCTCTCCTCTTGTTGGATGATCTCAGCATCACGCATTTAACTATTCACGTTACCGCAATCCTTTGCGTCCCGCTAGAAGCCACGCATGCTCCCCGCGTCGTTCAAGAATGCATCGCTCTTATCGCGAATTTTATTGCTCGCACCTGATTTCTGATACGAGTTTATCGTCGTTTCGTTTGCTCTTTTCGATTTCGACTTGCCTATTTAAATTCAATTTTAAACTACCCGCTGCTGTTTCCTAACGATGAATCCCTCCATTCTTTGCGAATTCAGTTTTTGAATGGTTTAAGTAGAAATTTTCAATAATTAAACTGCTATTTATCGTAATAAATTTTCTCTTTTTATTTAAAAGATTATCAAGAACGTTACAAATGGGTGGAAGTACGAGAGGAAGTGGTTTCAATGGTCACGGAGCAACAAGAAAAACTGGCGGCAGTGATTGCCGAGCAACAAGACGTGTTCGGTCTAACTTATAGCATCATCAAGAGGCTCGAAGGGCATGGGATGCTCAGCGGCAGCAGACAGGACTCAGCCAACAAGCCTATAATTTATGCGATCACTCCTACGTTCTCCAGGCCCGTGCAGAAAGCCGAACTGACCCGTTTGGCGCAGACCTTCCTACACATACCGAACTTCCATTGGATCGTCGTCGAAGACTCGAGCAGTAAGACGAAACTCGTCACGCGGTTTCTCGAGAACAGCGGTTTAATTTACACCCATTTGGCGGTGATCACTCCGCCTAATTACAAACTCGGCCGGACCGATGCCAACTGGAAGAAGCCACGTGGCGTCGAGCAAAGGAACGCTGCGTTACGATGGCTTCGCGAAAATCTTAAACCTACTGACAACGGTATCGTGTACTTCGCTGACGATGATAACACGTACTCGATTAAACTTTTCTACGAGGTAAGAACATCTATCAATTTCACGATGCAATTATCCTTTATTTCAACAAAGACGTACACGAAATGTTAAAATCACGAGTTTCCTATAAGTTAAACACATTATATATCTTAAAATTGAGTGAATTTGATTTGAAAATTATGTAATGTAGGGATGAACGATAATTTTTATCATGATGTGTCATTTAACTGTGTCCATAGATGGAGAAAATAAAGAAGGTTGGCGTGTGGCCGGTGGGTCTCGTCGGTGGCCTGATGGTGGAAAAGCCGATATGTGATAACGTTACAAATAAAGTAATCGGTTTCAACGCAGGCTGGAAGCCGGACCGTCCATTCCCGTTAGACATGGCCGGGTTCGCGATAAACCTGCGGCTTCTGCTGGAGCACAAGGATGCCGAGTTTTCGTATGACGTCGAGGGCGGCTACCAGGAGAGTGAAATCCTGCGACAAATCGTCACTAGAGATGAACTGGAACCACTGGCGGATTGCTGCATGAAGGTATGTATCCGAATTATTTTTTTAGCGTAGATAAGTGCATCGGAATAGTTATCGAAGTATGTGTTTCAAAATAGTCTCCACGAGTTTACATATTTTTAAAGCGTCAGATAAGATAATGAAAAATATCCAGCGAGTAAAACAAAAATGAAATATTTAGTCAGTTATTTTGCATTCGTATCGTAGATACCGATGCTCGTTATGAAATACTAACACGAGATACTACATACGAACGAACACATTGTAACAGTTTAGTTACCTTAATTCTTGTTACTGTCTTAAACGATTTTCGCTAAAATATTTAGGAGCAAAGAGACGAAAGATTAAAGTCAAGAAACACTATATATACTTCGTTATCTAAATCGCAGCATCACGTTTTACGCTGTTTACACAGGTGTACGTGTGGCACACGCGAACGGAGGACCCGAAATTAAAGATGGAACAGCTGTTAATAAAAAAAGGTAGACGTTCCAACATAGGTATTGAGGTGTGATAAAAAGTGTGTGTTCGAGACAAAAGAAGCCTGATCTGTGTTATAGATATTATCGCGTCCATCAGCGCAATTAATATTTAAGATAAAGTAAATTTTGTATACGCTTTCTATCATTCACATCATCATTGGTTATGTATTGTTTATATAGCAATGCAGTGCCATAACGCGTAATCGCTTTGTAGCTACATAATCGACAAGGATTTTAGATGCGATTGTAGATAGATCGTGCGTACCGATAGTATGCAATGATAACACGGCCTAACGACGTACTATTGATAAGCATCGGGGACTTTTACACACTCCTTCTATTCATACGAGGTTGTTTCATTTTCTACGATAAAACTCGCACTAGTGTTAAGAAGTGTAACGAGGTTCCAGATGTAATAAGATTTTTATGTAAATGAAATGAAAATAAAATAGCGGTTGAACGACGTGCGTGAATTATTTGATCACGCAAATGTTCTTTCATCCTTTATTTAGTCGAGTACGTTTCCTTGACGCGTACAGAAAAAGCATACATAAAAAATATGCCTTACACCTATGAACTCTTAATAATGTTCTTTGTTCTTTAATAATTGTTATTCTTTTTTTAAACTGGAAGATGCGCAGTAATACTTTTCGTGGGAAGCTACTTGGGTTACGGATTTTGGCAACGAATATAAAATAGCTAGATTAAACGTGGATCTGTTTCCGTCCCTGTCGAGTCGTTTCCTCGAGCGACTCCGCGAGGATTCAAGGACGCTGCGTGAAGATCGCGGCGAGGACACTCGCCATTCTTCTCTTCTCTTTTTTTCTCGATTTATATATTTCTCGTTTACAATAATATGTACTCGTTGACTTACAAGCTAATAAGTACTATATATTTGGCAAAACTCTGTATTACGGTACGTAAAAAAGCTACCCTGTGCAGAAAGTGTGTTCGCAAGCGAGGGAACGATAGATGCTTCTTGTTTAATCGATTCGTTTCAACAGGTAGGTACAACTGGCTTCAATAAATGTACACACGACCAATTTATTTGAATTCTTTTTTTTATGCTTCTTTTCCGCCTTTTTCACACTTTTTTCATTTTGCGAACGCACCTTCCGAACTTGCATACAACAGTCCTAAACTTACCGAATCCTCCTATAAACTTATTTCCAATTACATATTCCCTTAGAGATTAGGAGAAACGTTTACAAGCATTTACAAAAACTTATCACATTTTATAACTGCATTTTTTTTTTTTTTGAGAAGCCATCTTACACATTAGGACAAAATTGGTATTTAATGTTATCGAATATATTATAATATATATATATATATATATATGGCAGCTTTCGATTGTTCTTTTGTTTTATATAGTTTTGAAAAAAAAACATCTCGGTTTTTTTATGGCAATTATTTTACGATTCGAATATTTCCAAAACCGAAAATGTCGCCGCATTTGATTACACTATACATATTATAAAGAGACTTAAAATTGTTAATATCCGATAAAATGCTATCACGATCGATAATATCGGACGTCCGTTTCCTTCTCTTCAGAATCGTTCCTTATCTTGCAGTTTTCGTGTATACTGTTTGGTAATTGTGCCGATAATCCGATCGTGACGGTGCACAATTTTATCGATCATAAATTTAATCGCAAAAGCTGCCCACGGTTCTCGATTACATTACTTTCTTACAACGTAGAGGGCAACTATTGTTGGATGCACACGAAACACTAACTGATAATGGAAACTTAAGGAAATCAGAGAGACACTTCGGCTTTGCCTCGTTGGTATAATTTTTATATCGTAAAATGTACACGGTAAACTATAACTAAAAATGATATCACGAATTAGAAAACGTAAGAGATGGTTTCACCTCGAGAACACATCTGACAACCGAGTGATACGTGACATTGGTTCATAGAGAGTATGGTCACATCGGAAAGAGCGGCGGGCTATTAATAAACAATTAATTTGTTCATGATTGTTAAAGGAGAGAGGCGTGGCGACGATCTTATTAAAGGATACGTAAGCCGAAAATAAAGTGAACTTATTTAATGGAAACCTGAGTTTTCTTGATCGTCAATGATAAAAACTTTGCGGAGTTTCGCGCTTAAAGGAATCAGTCTTCGAAATCAAGTCATTGTACAACCACGAAATTGATAATTCGTCGTTTCAGAGTCGCGCAGGACGCGATGGAACGAGGTGTGTAATTGTTTCAGTGGATCATCTAATCGGAGAACGTACATGTATGGAACGTGCCGAGGGTAAATAATTACTTTTAAAAGTATATACACAGATAGGAAGTTCCCGGACGATTAAGAACTTCATCTGGAAAGAGAAAATTCCTGATTCCGTTTGTTCCTACTTCCTTGAGAATTCAACTTCCGTTGTTCTTTATAGCAACGCGGAAGAAACGAAAACGGAATAGGCGAATCGTATTTTTCTTTTCTTTTTAGTTCCGTGCTGTGCGCACGATAATAGTAGAGTACTACCCAGCGTACTAGACTGCGATTATCTATAAGGAGTGCCTCGAAGCAATCATCGCTAATTATCGACCAACTTCTACCGAATTTCGCGATTAAATTTTGTACATGCTTTCTCCTCGTGTAAAGCGATCTATCTAACTCCTCGTCCTCCTTCTTGTAACGATTCGCTAAATTACAATACACCGATAGTTTTTCCTCTTTTTGCCTAGAAACGATCTTCACACGAACAAGATACATTTTTGTATCTGAGCTTGTCATGAATCGTCAATTACCCTTTGGTGATTAATAATTGGGAAAGGGGGGAGAAGGAAAAATGTATTTCTTTCAAGAATCTTCGCTTCCGTCAAAAACGCTGAGCTAAAATCCTTCCGTGCAATTATCTTCAAGATAAGTTTGATAGGTGCAAACGATAAGATCTACGAATAAATGCAACAATGTTTTCCGTTCTGTCCACGTAAAGATGGAGACAGACAAAAATGCACGTACGAGATTTCCTAAGGTCCGATCGCTCTCGTTTAAAAATAAAACGGAAACGGGATTACGCGCTCAACCCGAAATCTCGACGGGGTGAAAATCGAATTCAGAAAAGGAGAAGACTGTTGGCAACAGTTAAAACTCTGTTCCCTGCGTGTACGTTTCAGGACGAAACGATGGATGCTCTTTCCTCATCGTTTCTTTATCGTTTCGAGAACACTTCGGCCAGGGAGATGAAGGTGGTGTCGTTTTTCCTGTTTCTTTTCCACGGGATGATTTACAATCTAGTACGCCGGAAGAATATCTAGACGGCCGAATCCTTGCCGACGAACCCTGTCTTTGATACGGACCTCTTCCCGTCAAACGTGATGGACGTCTCCCGGCGCAGGCCCGAGTCGATGATCGGCGTGATCTTCTTTTCTTCCTTCAGCGGTTCCTTCTCGTCTCTAGAATACGTTGAAAAAAAAAACGTTTTATTGACTGACTCGCTGAATTTTCAGACAGATACTCTTTAACGGTTATAGATACTTTCTAGTACTGGGCATAAAAGAGCATATGTCGAGAGATGCGGCGCGTAGTGCAACATCGAATAATAACGCATAATGCATGCCATGTCACTCGTTAGTATCGTGTTTCACATTTGCAGTCGAACCAATTCCTGACTTCATTTTCTTGTCGCTCTTTTTAGCGTCACAGCGTGTTCATAAAATGATGCGATATAAAAATAGTCTTCCGTCGTTTATTAAATCGGGAGAATTTATGAACACCCTGTAGCGAAGATAATGAGACTAAATTGTAAAGACCGCGTGTGACGGGGGAGAAAACATTCAAAAAGGTGTGTGTTCGAGTAGTTGTTGTTAAAGATGACAATATTGGATATTTTCGTGTGTCCGATACGACGCGGGGTGTTGTGGATATTTTACGAGTGAAAAGTGTATCCCGGTCTCCACGGTAACGTTTTTCACGAGGCAATGAAACTGAATTACCTATTTTCATGATCCACGCTCGAATGGAACAGGGTTAAATTAAAGCGAATGGTGGTGACCGGTGCTACGGTAGTTAACGAGCAATTAATATCACTTCAGAGTGTTGATATCTCATGCAGCATAGCCAAAGCATGGGCGAGTAAATGGGCACAATAGTTTATGCAACGCGCGTAAATGATAGAGAGAAAGAGGCGACGGGGAGAGGGAGAGGAGGGACGACAAGTAAGCGTTAAATGAACTGTACGTAGTGAATAGTGTACAGTGCTCTTTCTTTTTCGTATACACGGGAAATGGTTGGCAGCAAAACAGATAACAGGGAGAACGGAAGTGTTGAAGAGGAGAACAAACAAGATCATCCTTCTCATGCTGCAATTCCGTATTATCGGCGGGCCTCAAGCGCCGTCCCCGATGGATGCCATTCTCGATTTACGTGTCTGACGTTCCAGGATGTCCACCAGAATCGAAGGATTGATAAACAGATAAGAAACAAACGAAAGGGGACAGAAAGTTTGTGAGAACGTTAAACGAAGAGAAAACGATAAACGAAAAAACTTCATGCGAAGTAGAAAGCCGTGTCGGAGCCCCTTCGTGAGGAGCCATGCTTCTTACTGAATTTCCAACTTATGTATCTCTCTTACATGGCAGTGTGTTTGACCAATCTAATGGTATTTTTTCCACTACCCGTGTCTTGGATGGCCGTGACCCCGGCGACATTGGCCATTTTTTGGTCGCAATACGGCAATGGAAACCGCCAACCGTAAAGACTACCGGTAAAGAAAAAAAAAGAGACAGATGCGAGAGGGTCAAAGTGTCTCCTAATGGCGGGATACGTTTTTAACGAGTTAACCGCGCCATTTAATCGCGGTGAAACAACGTTCCGTTATCTTTTCTTTCTTTTCTTTTTGCGGAACAAATGTGAGACTCCGGTTGCGAAGGTTCAATGAAAACGAGATATAAAGGATACCCGGTACCGATTTGTCGAGGGTGTCCATTAACATCGGACGGCGAACGCCTCCCCCATGTGCTCGTTCGACTTTTTATAGCCTGGGTTTTTGTTCGGCGCTCCGCTACGCCGTTAAACATCGCTTTGACAGTACGCATTCGATAGGATTTCAATGGGGAAAAAAGAAAATCAAAAGTGGCTTTTCATTACGTTCTATTCTGTTAAAAAAAAAAAAAAAAAAAAAAAAAAACAGTGAGATGGTCTTAAATTAAAGACAGAAAAGAGGGATGAAAAGTATGATTTGAAATTAAGACTTTTTCTTTATTGCAGTCTCTAATAAATAGGAAGCCCTCTTTAAACAAACCGGTACCAAGTTCCTACAAATATATATCAAAGAACGGCCGTTTCGCGGAATCGTAAGGGCTCCGGTAAATGAATTTGCAGGTTACTCACGGCTCCCGTGGGAATCTCGGTTCGCGATGCGAAAATTTCGTTCGACGGTCTGGGGGAAGCGGGCAAAGGAGAGAAAAAGAGAGAGAGATTCGCGGGCAGTCGTGTCCGAACGACACGGTGAATGCGAAGTTCGATGACACGGTGGTAAATATAGCGCCAAAGACTTGCCAAAGCACAATGTAAAATATATGTGTGTAATGTATACGTATATAAAGGAGTAGCGCCGAGAAGTAAATCGATCTAACACGACAAGAGATATCGAGAGAGAGAAAGAGAGACAGAGAGAGAGAGAGAGAGAGAGAGAGAGAGAGAGAGGGAGAGAGGATGTTTCGTATAAAACGTGTGGCGTGTACTGAAACAATTCGAGATTGGAATGAGGCTCACCTGCCAAGTTTCGCGTCCTCTTCGTCCACTGGTTTCCGGCGGGATCGTTCGCACACGTAGTATATGATTCCTGCAATAAAGAATTCTTTTATTAGACAAAAATGTATACCAGAACAAAACTCGTAAAAAAGTTCTAGAACATACTTTGCTTTCCTTGCTCTCGCGGCGTGAAATCTACTTTCTGAATTGTGTAACTTGTCGCGACGGCTCGGCGTAAACTAAATAGAGTCGTAATCTCGCGTTAGGATTCACAATTGCGCTTTCTCCGTATAAATTTGCGCAGCTGCGATTCGAGAAACGAGTTTATGCCGCGTAATTTCGGATAAATTTACGCCGCCGCCGCCGCATCAAGTAAATTAGCGTCGTAATTTCAAATAAATCCGGATCTGCAATTTCGGATACCTACCATTCCGATAGAACGGAAGTTCTAATAAATTTATTCGCTGCACTTGCAGCCAATGCTTGCGTCGCGATTTTCGATAGATTTACCGTTTCGAGTTCGTGTAAATTTATGCACCGAGATCCGTTACGCTCACCTGATACGATTCTTAACGGATTGGCATTGCACTCTTAACGTTACATGAATAGCCATTTAGTAATTTATGTTTATATGCGCTTTTAAATATACAGTATTCCGTTTATAAATGCTCAAGCCTTAAAGTGTGATATATAACAGTCTGCATTTTTACCATCATTAGGATGATTAGAATTGCGTACAATGGTGCGCTCTAATAGAAGGGTGGGCTCCTTAATTTGGTAGGATCAGTGGGAGAAATTCGTTTGAATCGTGTACAGTGACGTCCTCTACCGTCAGACTGGATCCTTAGCCTCGTAAAGGTGACAAATTGAAACTACCTGTTCTGTTATATTATAATAAAAAATAATATATAAAAAATAATAAATAAAAATTCTATTATAATAAAAAAGTCCTGAATACTCCATAAATATCTGTACACCGTGATAGACTCATGTGAAAGATAGTTCACAGTTTGCAAAGGGGGGATGAGTCTTCAGTAGAAACATGATAAATTTTAATTATATAAAATAATGAAATATAATATAGATGTTTGATGACCATTTATCGTGGGAATACTGTATATTTATAATGCGATTTAAGTTTAAGCTTAAGATTGTATTAATTAGAGAAATATATCTTTACCTGTTTTATGCGCACAACAGCAGATCACGTCTATCACTATAATAATAATGAACAGTACCGCGATCACGATACCGATTATGGCCGCGCTCGATATCAGAGGTCCTTGATGATGAACCACGGTCGTGTCCATACCTTGAAGGACAAGAATCAATGCGTCAAACAAATACCACGGGGCGAAAAAATACTTTATTGTTTTGCAATCCGTTAGTGCAGAAGCATTACTTAACGATGTTTGGTGATGCAATTCAATATTAAGCGTTATCCTAGAGCTGAAGTCTTCAAAGGAGAGAGATGCGCATAACAGAAAGTACAATCTCCATTCGAGTGTTTCTTCAAATGTGATAAGGGTTATAATTTCAGAGATAATATATGAAACAATTTGTAAAGTAGAAGAGGGATAAAATAGAAGGTTGGAAATAAATTGCGTTCAGCCGAAGTTAAACTTTTCGCGTCGAGGAAATTCGATGTGGCAAGAAACCTTCCAAAGCCTCGTGACCGTCTCGACCGTGGAACCTTCGCTATATTTCACGGTACTTTCGAGTCTCTGGAAACCGATTACAAGTATACCCGAAGCAATAAAACTCGATAGCTTATCCCGGCGCTCGATATCGCGATCACCGCGCCGTTACCGAACGGACGGGAACCGGCGCGCATCACCAAACACGTTACGCAAACAATTAATTATAGTCTCCTGAAAAGAAACAAGAGAATCGGCGGGGGGGTGGTTCTGGGGAAATGCCAAAAATCCGTTTTCATCAAAGCGTAAGACACACGTTAAAGGTAAACCAAAAGACAGAATGAGGACACCAACAAACCAAATCGAAGCGAAGAACGTGAACAAACACAATGTATTTACAAGCTACGTGTGTTTCTAATACCAATTAATAAAAAAGATGATCGGTCACCGAAGAAGCGATTAAAGAGAAGCGTGATTAAAGAACAGAAGTCAAAGAGAGAAACGAATGGTAATAAAAATGAAGGGAAGCCGGGTGCACAAAGATACGCGTGCGATATACCAAGCGCGAAAAAACATTAGCGAAACGGATGGGCGACAGAAGGGTGCTGGTGTGGCGTGGGTGCCCTTCTGCCCGGGTGGGCGCACAGAGAGATATGGGTGCTGAAGTAGAAGCTCAAGGAAGGGGGAAGAAAGCTCATTCGCTACCTTTCTCTCCCGATGTTAGTTTCTCTACGCGTCACTAATCTAAATGTGCTACCTCCACACACATAAAGCCAGTTTCCTTTTTATTCCACTGAGTGCCTCTTACTCTCGCGCGCGTTCTCTCTCTCCCTCTCACGCTCGCATATATTATTTCCTTTTTTTTTTTTGCTTCAAAAAGTCAACAGAGAGGGACTACTACGATTATATTATGCATACTTAACAGATGTATGATACACATTACGTCACGTCGTTTTTCGACTCTTCTGATGCGTGCTTCAGAATATATTTACCCGTTTGCTTTTCGGCGCGGCGCATGTCGCAGAGTCGCGTCCCGTCGTCTATTTTTTCGTTTTCGTTTCCCATTTAAACAGGTGAGCGGAAAATGAACGAGACGGCCGTGAAAGAAGCCATCTCAAATTGCTCTCTGCCCGTTTCGCTCGAATACTCTTTCTCCTCGCTGGACCTTAAAACCCTTTAACATGCCTCGAGCGTCTGCGTGGCCAGATCACCCAAGCGGATGATTTAATTTACGGTGCTGCACCGTCTTACGTCGTCGTCCGTTCGATGCCTAATAATATTTGCCGATGGATATATGCAGTTAGGTATTGATGAATGAGAACACTGTTCAAAGCGAACGCTTCCGGTCGATCGATCGGTTCTTCGAACGGCCGAGTCAAGACACCCGTGCTCTTCTTTACTAGTTTCGTTCTTTGGAATTCTCTCTTGACAACTCAATGGGGACACTCGTTCTTAAACTCATGCAGCTAATCATTTAATGAGATAGCAACTCGAAAGAAGAAAACGTGCTTCTCGGGGAGATTAAATTAATATTATTTTTCTCTCGAATGGAAAATAATCTGGATGCTCCGTGCGCTGAGTCCAATTAGTCGCTAAAAATGGAACTTCGCGGAGACTTACGATTTGATGCACAATTTGTGAAGAGCTCATTAAAAAATCGCGTCTCCGGTTTCGCTAGGGGACTGAAGCGACTTCACTGATCAGACGACTTCTCTATTTTCTTCGAGTATCTTCCACCCATATCAATTATTCCTTTTGTCATCGTTCTTTCTTGGATACATAGGCAGATTGGTTCGGTCTAATCTCATCAAACGGAGCCTCGTTATTTTCAATTGGAACGCCGAAGGGTTAAGTCAGAAGAATAACCAGCCATATTTATACGATACGAGATGAGATGAGAACAATTTGACGACGGCTTCTTTCTTGGCAGATTCATCTTGCATGATATTCCTTAAACACTCACATATATATTTCCATACTCATATTTACAATATGTGTTCTCCACAGGAAAAACAATAAACGTTTCTCCGCTGCCATAAATACGAATGTATAATATATATTATAATAATATGTATGTATGTTAGGCACTAGGCTAGCACATAATTCTTGCACGTGTGTACCTATGTATGTGTGTGAACGTTACCTGCCTCTAAACTCCATTCGTAAATTTATATATATAATATTTATATGTATATACGTTTGTATATATACATGTATATTGTATACAGATCACGGTTAATATGTATATTCGTTGGGAATTACACATGTGAAATACCTTACGAGTTTTTCAAGACGCGAGACCATTCCAGTTTTCCCCTTTCGAAGAGAGAAACACAGTGCCATTTCGAGGGTACAGAAGTCAAACAGTGAGGTCTGAACAATTTTCATTGAAACATTCGTGTCAGAATTAAACCGGAAGCTATGTAATAGTGAAACAAGTCAAATCGATTCTCAATTTCACTGTTGACGTAACACTGATTGAAGTCTGCACCTTCCATTCCAAAGACAGTCGCACACATCTCATTCAACACTTCTCCTTTCCTCGATACGGTCGGCACACCATATAACCGACAGCTTTGAAGCTGCGTCGACGTATCGTGATCCGAGAAAATGAGAGACGTTTCAATAAACGTCCGCGGCGATCATTGCAAGTTGCTATTACACGGAGAAAAGGAGATGGGCGGTGGAGGTAAAAAGAAATCGAGTGCTGCGATCGACGGGGTCGTGGCTCGATTATTATCATTACGTAGTCGATCTCGTACGGGCTTTTAAAAAAATATCCGATACGAAATAGAGTCGGGAGGGAAGATGTAACGTCGCCGATGGGACCGAGTAACAAGAGAGGAATGAATTGGGAAAAGGAAAAATGGATCGTGACTGGGAAAATGGAGCTGAAGTGTAACGAATTCCGTTTCACAAGGAACAATTCCGCGAGCCAGAAATTACCGAGAACAGAAATCTCCTCGATTTTAGTCCATTTTAATACTCGATATTTTTATTTCGCTTTCAACCATACGTTTCGCACCGTTCTCCATTTTCAAAGAGAGAGAAAGAGAGAGACAATATATGAAGCGAACCGTAATTTCCACAGACAATGAAGCAGGGCTCTGCGCGTCCATTAACCGTGCTCGAAACTCAGCGAGTGAAAATATAGTTTCCTACGAATTTCCAGTCTTCGATGGGATTCTAATCACAGCCGACGGATCGGGTGAGCGAGCGACAGAGGGAGAGAGGAAGTCGGTGATTCAAAGTGTTTTAATAACGGCGTGCGAGTAACAGAGAGAGCGACGCATTCCAGGAAAGCGCTATACTTGTCCAGCACTTAAGTCACGATTGCGTTATCACGAGTTTCGCGATGCGCATACGGCCGGAGTATGCCATGTGCCGCCCTCGAAAATAGATTCACGGCTCTCGACATTGCACGCTGCAGTTCATATCGCGAGAGCGCCTAGCTCTCTTCAGCTCCTCTCTTTCCCATCTCTTCTTCTTCGCGCTGTTTCTGTCGGTACATCTTCGTTTGGAACCGTGCGCGTCGCCTATTTATAACGAGGCCTCTGTTTCGGAGCACGGAGAGTTCCCCGAACGAGACTTAAGCCTCGCTGAACGCGAAAGTATTGGCACCGCGGCATTATAATTAGAGACGCTACTCCACTTTCGAGTTTAACGAAGAAGTGGCCGTTCGTGCCTTGGAAAATTTTTAATTCTAGAAAGACTGAATTTCTGATACAGGATATAATCTTAAAGACGAGATATCCGTTCTCGGTAGGAATAATTTAGAGAAGAATGCTGAAGCACAGTATGAACAGAAAAATGGGATAAAGCTACTACATGAAATCAAAGTTTAATACTAGTTTCAAATATATTGTCGAGAATTTTAAGAGGCGTTCATGGCTTCAACAGATGTATGGATCTTCTAAAATGATATACGCTGACTTTACATAACTGTGATATTGCAACTCTGTACCCGCCAAATACTTCTTGCACCTAGAACTTCATCCTCAGGCAATATTCGACATTTCTTACGCCCGTTGGAGAATGTTCGTGCCGGCAGATGCTCGGGGAACAAAGCATCCTCGCTCCGTGTCCAACAATTCCGTGCGAATTCATAAACAATTTCACAGCGGTAACAGCTCTTTGTGCCAACACTTTCCCCACTAGACGCTGTAGTTTCTTCGTTCGAAAGCGGGAGTGGTAACAGAGGCCCGCCGCCTCACTTCTCACCAGAAAGCCCCATTTGCATTCTCTCGTTGAAATTATCTCGTCGGTCGCCGGTTCCCGATCTTCCCGACCGAAGCAGTTTCGCGGCTCACTCTAAGTTGCAAAATTGCGAAAGCTCGAGAGTCGGAGAGAAAGGGCACGGGACCGACCAAATCGGGGCGAAGTGGACCGGATGAGGGAGAGTACACAGAATACAGAGAGTTTCAGGTTTCTTATCTATTATAAGTTCTAGCCACGGGGGCAGTGCGCGACTCTTGAGTTTTAATTGCGTTACCGTCGAGCTATTATATGGCCAAGTTCCACCGATTAATCCCGAAATCTGCCTTCCATTCTGTTACACGTTGCCTTGGCCCGACATGCCTCAGGCGAGGAACAGACCAAACCGAGCCGAGTCAAGGCAGCCGTTTGACGCGAGCGAAGTTGAATAAACATTGTCTCCTGCGAGCTTCTCTCCCCCACCGTGTACGAAACCCGTGTATACAAACGAATTAATCTCGGTCGTGAATCGTTTAATCGGCCGGATCAAAGGAACGCGAACAACTGGGATAGGACCCGTTGAAGTAATTTCTCGCACGGTGTTTTATTTCCGGAAACCGATCAAGCTCGAGAATTATTTTCCACGGTGCAGTTTACATAGCCACGGGTCCTTCGGGCGTACCGATTTATACGCGAATTTAGCCGGGTGCATGAATTCGCGAAGAAGAAATTTTGCTCGATCGGGTTCGCGCTTTGCCTATCCCTCGGGCAATGAAGTCCGTTATTCCATCGGTCTAGCCGTTTTTCTGGGACGATCTGGAGCGCAATTCTCGTGAAACGTTTCGCGAACACACTGGGAAAAAGGGAGTTCTCCTCTCCACTCACGAACCAATCTCGACTGTTTCCACTTTCCCTCTCTGTCTCTCTTCGCCGTGTCCGTCTCTGCAAAGCGATTTAACTTCGACAAAATTACATTAGGACACGGTTGAATCGAATCCCATTCTAATGGAGCCTCGCGGACGTTCCGTCGTGCTACAAATTAAGAGAACCGTCCTTCTCTACTTCCCGTCTCCCTCGCTCACTCCAGTTTGGCACTCGTTCAACGAGCCTCATATATCGATTCGCCGGAAAAGACAAGGGATTTTCGGCTGGGACTCGAAACGCAGAAAACGATTTTCCCGCTCGTTTCCTCTCGATTCCTCCTACCCTCTCTTTCACTGCCGTGGCTCCATTGTCTCGTCGGCGCGAAGCGTTTCACGCGTCGACGAGCATGCTTTTCGCCGCGATCTCTCTGCTCAAAGGCAGCCTCGAGCGAAGAAAACACTGTCTTCCGAACACGAATTCAGTCGACGCATACGACTGTACATGCCTGCCTCTTGCGTCACCGGAAACTCCGCTGCTCGCGCTTCCAGAACGGCTGGAGACAGTCGCGACGGCTAAAACTCGAGGCGGCAGAATCGCGAGCTAATCGACACCCTTTCCCGTGGTTCCGGGATAGGAGAGGTCTCCTCGAGGACCGGGGCGGAGTGGGATCGGCAGTTCATTAACTACTGTTTCTTCACTCTGGGTTTCAGGAGCAGTACCTGGAGTCGAATAAGCTGTGCTCGGAATTTGCTGGCGTAGCGCGACATTCGGATTTTACAACCGTATCTGAATGCAGTTTGAAGCAGTGTCCTATTGAATAATTCCGCAATATAAAACTAATGAAAAACCGAAGAATCACATTTTGACAATTGTAGAGAATTAGAAATTATCCGTTGATTGTAGAGATAGGAGATGAGATACGTAATTCGGGAATAGTGGTGAGGATAGAGGGAAAAATTTAGTTTCAGTATTATTATTGTTATTATTATTATTATCCGATCGAAGGTTCATCCGTTCATCAGGAAATTTTAGTAATTTTCCTTTTCGTTTATTCTTATGAACATTTATTTCAGGGTATCAATTTGGCAAAATAATAAATGAAAGGTCTGCTTCTCCTCGGAACCACAGTGTTTCTTCTTACGACCGTTTCGATTCGCTTAGACTCTTCATCCATTCACTCGCATATAATACAAAATAATGTACACTCTATATAATGTTCGTCCCGGCACTCGAGATTCTCAAGCCAGCTCGGATTCATCGATCATAAACAAGAAAAAAAAAATAAAAGAAAACACGACGGTCGAGCATATACCACTCACTCGCGCGTCTTCATCCCTCGAGCCGGGTGCGCGTAAAATATATAGCCGCGCACGATTCGTTTACATGAATCTAAACGCGTGAAGTTCAGACGAACGCTCGACACGCGACATTCATTCATTCACTTCTAGATGTTCTTTATAGCAATGCGCGAGCACATACTCTATTCATAGAAACGCAGACAGATCCCAATACGGTGTGCTCGTTATCATCCTCAATGGATTCAGAAACAACGCGCGAAGTCACGTATCTCGTTGGTACTCCATCTAAGAATTCTCACTGGAGAAAATACCAATCGCGTTACTTGAAGATGCATGGAAATTTTGAACAGCTTCCCCGTATTCGCCTGTCAAAATGTGACACATGCGCATACATACAAGCTGTTAAAACTTAAGATACTATTACTTGTCGGATTCGTTTTGTATAATCATAATAATTATTCGGATATAAAAAAAGGAGATTCTATATAGAGACTCCTTTGAATGTTGTGCGTTGAATCAATAAGATTCATCATTTAATCGTTCCAAGAATAAAAGAAATTGTGCATTGGAGATTCACTCGGTTGGCCAACAAATGACACGCATGTCGCTTTTCGAGCGTTCACCGAACCCCGGCCTTACAATTCACCTTACTTACACCTAAGCACACTCGTATGCGTTTTACATACACAATTGCTGATCGCGTGGAATCCCTCGATACGATAGTACAAGAAGGTACGTGGTGTGTTCGGAATGAGAGTGTCGCCAACGAAAAACACAGGCGAACGGCACTAACTTAAACGAAACGAACAGAACCGGTGAAAATAAAGAGTAAAAGAATCAACAAAATTAGATAAGAAAAATCAAATAGAAAAAATAGATGTATTTATATCTGAAACGACACAAGCGCATGCCATGCGATCGTCTAACATCTAACAGCGAGGTACTACTTGGCGATAAATTGTACTGTTCGTAAGCTTAGCCACGTAAGTTCTACGTGTAGAAGGATCGAAATCTGGTCCTTTCCGGAATTCGAAATGACGGATGAAAAACGGAAACCGTTCGCCTTGTGGGACCTCGCCTTAGCATCTAAGAACTCAGGCAAGTGAGCGTTCAGGAATCGAGGTTCGACGACCTTGTCGCGTTCGCGTTGAACGATGACACGCGATCGATACCCTCATTGGGCAGTAAGGGGCCATTTGTATTTCAGACGCGACAGTCTTCCGCGTACCTCGATACCCTGGTGTGTGTCTCCTACGGAGCACCACTTTTTCTTCCTTCGCTTTTTTCCCTTTCTCGTTTTGCATATTCGTCGTGTCAAGCTTCTTGCTCGAACCGAAATACAATTGATCGAATACGATCGTGACGACGTTCGTTAATCATGACTTCATGACGATGACGGTAATACTACTGGTAATGACGATGAACAACGGTATACAAATAGGCGTAATCGATTAAACTAAGTGTTATTAATAATACCATATAGTGATAATAGTATTAATTTATAGTAAATTATAGCAGCTATGTACGCAGTGAATAATATAATAATAATACTAATAATAATGATAGTAATAATAATAATAATAATAATAATAAATGTTGTAACGCTAATAGCAATGGTTAAAGTAACGATAATAATAATATTATTATTAATAATAATAATAGTAATCATAACACACATCATGCGCACTAAACACGTATGGTCCAAGAGCTAATCAAGCAGGACTAAATCCGATGATTCGGCAAAATAGTTAATCAAAATTTTCCCAGAGAGAAACAATGAAAATAATTCAAACAAAACGTTATTAATCATACACAAGAGGAGAGAAAAAATCGTGTATGCATTCAGCTGAAAATGATACCCAGCTAATAAAACTAATTTCTCAAGGCGAAAAGTATTATGTAATTGGTTAAGAACAGGTGCTTTTCCCGTTTCGTGCGGATGCTCTCGGGTCTCGTTTGTTCATTAACTCTTTTTTTGTTCGTTTCTCCTCGCGGATCATTCGTATAATATCGTGATCATCGATAAATTGATCATCGTTTGGTTACGTGTTCTCGCGAGTCTTTTCAAGAATTGTGTTTTAAGTAGCTGCAAGTGCACATCTTCTTTGGCTCTAAACGTGTAATTCGCGTGACTAATTATTCACCACGGGATGAATGAAAAATTGGTTATGAAAAAACGACGAGTAGAAAAAGCGTAGCCGCACACGGGCTATGCGGAACGGTGGTGGTTCAGCTCGGACGAAAACGGATTTTTCACGGACGACTCCTGACGCATACGATCGGAATTTCCTTCGACGGACGTTTGTGTATGTGTGTGTGTGTTCGTGTATGTTCTTTCAAAGAGATGGTAATGAGTTGCACACGACAAGAGAATCTCCTCTTCTAAAATGTTATTCGTTGTTGTCTGTTTCGTTATTACGGTTTTATTCGTTGCAAATCAGGCCGCAAAAATTGCGAAAAAATGACCATCCAAAAATATCTGTACTCTGCTAACTGGCGAGAAACAAGGAAATATTCCTGACCAATTCGCTAGCTACGTTATTTAAATATAATTAATATAACGCGGGATAACCATCCAATTTTACTCCTTCGTTTCCTCTTCTCAATAATACTTTTGCGTGTTTCAATAGTACACTTTTCGCGATTTAATAGCCTGTGAAATTTTTCACGCGAAAACAGATTCGAGGCGCAAATGCATCGGATGCATCAATGGAAACGAAAGACGCGTATCGATGAACAACTCCTCGAACTGGAAACACTCTAATTCGACCATTCTAAGTTTTCAGTCAACTACTATCATTGAACACGACTCATATTTTAGAAATTCGTTGCTTCACTAGTGATACCGCTGGCTAATGTAAAAATCATTCGTCGTACATCAATCATCTATCAAATGCGAATTCTTAAAAGAGAATCACCAAGCCATAGCGTGAACTGCAAAAACGTCCCACTACATTCCCTAAAAAACTGGACTGAACGTAGTCCGCGGGAATCATTGCAAATCGCGGTCTCTTCTCTTTCCTATCGAATCCTCTCGCTTATTTCCTAAAAAACGTTCCTATCACGAAATGTTGTGCACCGGTTTAAAGTGACGCGGTTTAAAGTAATCGTCACTCAAATGTGTATGCACGATGGTAAATGCAAGTGTGTGTAGTGTGTGTACAGTGTTGGTGAACGATTTGAGTGCTCGTCGATTTTTGTGAACATTACACGCTCGAAACATGAAAACCCATCGCCCGCTTGTAAGTTGATTTTCATTTTTTTTTTTTTTTATAGAAGTGTAAACTCGGCGAACAGGAAAACTTATAGTGTCCCGTTCATATTTTTACGCTTTTCTCTTTCTGCCCATCGTGTTTCTGTGTCCCTGGGGTTGTACTCTTCACGCGTGGTACATGTGTGTTAACATATATGTATAGTACTTTCTCGTAATTCGCATGATACCACTTTCTGAACCGCGTACAACTACGTACATAGAAACGGAAAGATCAGAGCGTGAACAGCGACCGTTCCTGACGATGAATTTTTCGTTTTTATTTGCATTTTTTTTTTTGTGTGTTTTAAACTGCTACGAATAGGATTATTGCTGTGGCAATGGCGGTCACGGCGAGCTTGCGAGTACCTCCAGCGGAAGTATCTACATTGTAGTCCACATTCTGGCCCGTAGATTCTAATAATGACAAAAAGTGACTTGTAGAAGGATCGTTTGTTGTGTCTTGAACATGTTTTGTTAGAATGGGGGGAGGGAGAATATCTAATGATAATACATATACCTAAGATGCCAGTAACATCGTACGGCTACCGAGTTCAATTCATCTAAAAGTCGCTTTTCTACAAGGGTCAAGGGGACTGAGGACTCCTTTATCCACTTTCGATTAAAAAAAGTTTCTACGCACAAACATCTCTCAGTATCAGAAAAAATCGCGAGACGCGAATAAGACGCGTCGATATACCTCAATGACCCTTTTCCCTCCTCCTTGAGTAAACAAAAAAACAGAGGCGAAGTAATAGTTAGAAACGGTCTCTCTTGTCGGGTTGAAAAAAAAAGAAAAAAAAATAGAGAACGGACATATCAATCGGTGCAATAGCCTCGTGCACATATAAATATAATGTAATAATTTCAAAGAGAAATTACGACTTGTTAAAAAGGGCACTAATCGAATGACCGACGAAAAAACGTCGTGAGATGAAGAAACGGCGAACGAAACGTACACGTTTCGAGGAGTACGGTCATAAAAATGTGTAAGAGAAATAAAATAAAAATAGATGGAAGAGAAAAGAGACGTGAGAAAAAGAATTGGAGAGAACTTACCCCTGGCCGTCTTAAACTTCGCAGAGCCCGGCTTACTGAAACCCATCGCGTTGTGCGCCCTCAGCTCCACTTTGTAGAACGTGTCCGAGATTAGGTTCTTCAGCCAGTGCCTCAACCTTGCCTGAGTCTTCACGTCGACCGTTCGACAAGTATCCTCAAGGACCTCCCAGTTGCCCGAAACGCGTTTTATTTGACAGTACTTGATCTGGTACATGTCGATCGGCTCACCGTTGTCCGCCGGCGCCAACCAAGACAATTCGTATTGATTGTTGTACATCGAGACATCATACTCGTCCGTAGTCGGTGACATTAATATCTTCGGCTCGTTCGGCTGCGTTCTTCCAGGCGTGACCTCCCGATAATTGGCGCCCCAGTTGCCCATGCCGACCTTATTCATGGCCGCGAATCGGAATTCGTACGCCGTCTGAGGTTTCAGATTTTCCAGCCAGTACGCGGAATCTGAAGACGAAATAAAATTATTTTCCTACATGATTGAAATCTGCATTTAACACAATAAACATCAAATAAAATCTTCGACGCAAGAAATCAGCTTCGAGAAATGTTTGCCGATTCAGGAAACTTACTGATAGACCACGTCTTGTTCCTAGCCTGCGACCAGGTCTCTCTGTCCTCCTTGTACTGCACGACGATCAACTGCACGGGTAACTCGGGGTCCGTGGATGGTGGTAGTACACTGAACCTGATCGTGGTTGCTGTGATTTCTTCCATCTTCGATTGCATCACTTCGCCCGGTTTCATCGCCTCCCTCAACTCGATACTGTAATCGCGCGTGCCATGCTTGTTCGACGCGATGCACTTATAAGTCGTGTAATATCGCCTATCCAGCGGGTAGACTGTCAGCGTGGAGAACGGACCATTGCCGATCTGCTTGATCCATTCGTCGTTGTCGATCTTCCTATCGCCATGTGACGTCCAGCGTATGGTAGCGTTCGGTATGCTCTCGGCGATGCAGCTGATGTTCACCGGTTTCTGATCCCATGACCAAACGGTTTTATTCGGCATAGACTCGAACGACGGCGGGAATTCTACCATCAAATGGCCGTTTTTACGAGCGTCGCCTCCCGTGTTCGAGGCGATACACTCGTAAAGTCCGTCGTCCTTCCTGAGAACCTCGTCTATCGTCAAAGTTCCAATCGTTTCCCCGGTGTTATCGTTCGGTTTGTTCGACACGATAATCCTGTCGTCGTCAATTTGCGCCCCGATCGTGTACGCCTTATCGGAAGTGTGCTTTCTGAAAGTGACTTTGGGCGGGGGTCTGCCGAACGCCTTACACGTGAGGCTCGCTTGCTCGCCTTGTACCACGGTTGCATTCAGCAACTCCATGATTTTCGGTTTCACAATCACGTTCACCATTATGTTCGTGCGGGCCGATCCGGCGTTGTTCGTCGCGGTGCACTGATACTCCCCGGCGTCCTCCCTGTTCACGTTCTTGATTGTTAACACTCCCGTATTCGAGTTCACCTCGAAGCCATCGGCGGTCGACAAATCCTGATGAGTCAGCGTCTTTACCCAGGTGATCTTTGGCAGCGGTTTACCGTGAGCCTTGCACGTTATAACCGCCCCTTCGCCCTCGACGATGTTGACCGGCTCGGAGATCTCCTCCACCGTGGGGCGTATGTGGACCTGTATTAAATGAAACGCAAACCTGTTCCCTGATACCTGCGGCAGCATTATGGCTAGGGATCGGGAATAATTGACGCAACCCCAGCCGGCATAGTCGAGGGTGTATGTATACGGTGGTCAGTGTACAAACCGAGGGGTAACGGATCCACGGAACTCGGAGGGAGATTTGCTTTCCCGCCGAGTTTCATTTTAAGTTTACCGTTCTGTTTACTAATTATACTTGCACAATTTCGTACTTTTTGCACGTTTTCTCATGGTTAAAATTTATGTATATATAATACGGTTTATATCTAATAATAAATTACACTTAGTACGAGCGAAAATCGTGGTTGATAACAGATCCGGTGGAGTAATCAATACGTACCTCAACACGAATAAATCGTTCTTTCATTTCGCCGGTGGTCAACACGGAAGCACGGCAAGTGTAGACGCCGTCGTCGGATTCTTGAACATTCTTAATCTTCAGAGCGTACGTGTCTACGATGTAGCGGTCGTTTGTCTTAATTAATTCACCGTTGAACAGCCAGTCCACCGCGGGCGAAGGCCTAGCGCGTACTTTGCACTGAATAGCGAAGTCCTCGCCAAGTATGGGGTATTGATTGAGCGGCGCATCGTCCCAAGTGATCGCGACTGTGAAACACAGTGTTTACTCTTTTCATCGTTTTTCTTAGAGAGACTTAGAGACTTAGTTTTTATGCTCTATTACAAAGAATTTTCATAAAGCGCGTGCAATCTTAGTAATGAAATATTTAAGCGTGAGCAGTGTTTAATATTATAAATTGAGTCGATTTTTCGATTGCTCACCTATCGAGTCGATCGTTACAGACTTCTCGAGTAAAATGGAATTCGCGTAATTGGCTTTACAGGTGTACTTCCCAGCCTGTTCTTCCTCCAGCGAGTTGAAGAACAAGGACAAGCTGTTATCCTGATGCAGTTCGGTGTACATCGGCGGCTTCGTATGACCCGTGCCCGTGCTAGACGCAATAATCGAAAATCGCTGTTATAACGTCTGCTATTTTTTATATTACATACCCATTCCAATAACGATGACATTCTATTTAACGATGATGGTGATGACGATAAGTGAAATGTTCAGATGATTCGTTGGACAGTAGTGACTGGCTCAGTGTTTCGCGAATAAACTAACGGGCACGCACTATCTACCTAATCGTACTCATTTTCCCAAATTCTATTACTGTACTACGCAAAGCGAACTAAGAGCAATTAACGTAACCATAAACGCACCTATGAGCGTAATGCTTGTCTCTGGGAATATCTCCCTCGGAACGCTGCTGCATAAATCTCTGGCAAAACAACTAATCCGTATTCTAACGCGAAACACCGAGCCGATATCGGTGAAATATATCGTTACGAGGCGTGGCTGTATACGGGAGGTGAACACATAGTGAACGCGTCGAATTCGGGATCGATGCCGTGGGATCGGGGTCGTTCGCTAATCGATCGACCTTAATTCGAGACGTAAGACCCCGATCGAGCGCAACCCAAAGACCTCCCTTTCTCCTCTGCCTCCTTCACAAGAGAGAGAGAGAGAAAGAAGCTTGTCTACCTGGGTTCCTAAGCCGACGCGACGCGGCGGACAACCGGCAATTTGGTCGTTTCGTGTCGTGTACGGACCGAGGAAACTGGTACAAACGAGACGCATTCACGTGAATTCACACAATTTAACAACACCGCATGACAGAGTTTGGTGGCACGGGGCAAGGGGGAAATGGAGATAAGGTCCCGGGGCTTTGCTCGCGCGTAGTGCATACAGAGAACTATACACGCGCTGAATCGTGTCGTAATGAATAGTTTCGATGCGATTTCCGAATGGGCCGTGTCAGCAGCAGAGATACCGGCTTTAATGAACCCTTTCCGATTAGGTAACGTGCGCCGTCGGTGGTTATCGAGATCACCGATCCCCATTCCGGGATAAAAAAAAGGGGGACGAAAAAAATTGCAGCTGATTGTCCGGGGATCGATCGTCGTTGCGCGCCGGGTCCAGGTGCGATTAACCCGTGGTTGCGAACAGATTGCCTGCTCGCGGGTTGCGGTATTACTCACGCGAGCCAATGAAGTTGTTTATCGTTTCCGGTTCTTTGTTGGTTGTTGCGGTTAACTCGGGTGCAGATCGTATGGAGTGTTGAACGCGAGACGATTCGCAGTTACTTGGTTGCATTAATCTACTCTACTGTTAAAGTCTTTTTAGCAAACAAGTTTCTTCATTACAGATGCAAACAGCACGTTACAAATAATGGAGATTTCATTTACTAACAAAAACCTTATTTATACTATTAATTAAAACGTGTAGCAATTTTAGAAAAATTAATTAAATAGAAAATATCTTTATTACGAAATAGAAACAAGTTTCTCAAATTCATTCTCCCGGCAAAGAGTAAGAAAACAATAATTGGTCAACGTCACCTTCGACCGTAAGTAGTATTAGCCCGAAACAGTCAGCCATGGTCTCAATTTCTCAACTTCAAAACTTCTTCCCACGAGTTCAATTAACCAAAAGGAGAACGGTGCACGAACAATTGCGACGACGGGACCGACAAGGGGCAAGTCGAATCAGGTAACCGAAGAAAGAAGGTTGTAAAAAATAAAGAGAAAAGTAGAGAGAACGCTTCCGTAGAGCTGCGGCTTGGTACGTGGCGATGCACGAGATAGCGGCGTTAGCCCGGCGATTATGCAATAATACCCTTTCTTCTCACTTAGCTAATCGGGAACACGGAGCCGTTAAGTACAATTAATGAAACGGTTTCAGCGGACCGGGGGACGGGGCTACACGCGCGTCCCGGTGAATTTATCGGCCATTACATGCCGCGACGAGAGCGGACATAATTATGCAAATCGGTCGGGATACGCGTAATCGGGCAAACACGCGAACCGACGAATCAGTTACCGAGGTTAACGCTCGTTGAATTGTGTTTGATCGCGTTCTCAGTTCAATATTTGCAAGACGAGCGCCGCGATACATTATTTAGCCGGCCGTGGATCGAACCTCGATACGCCGCGGCGCATGCTAACACATCGGAGACACATAACAGATGATGAACGAGTATGCTGAAGTGGGTGGGAGTTACAAGATGAGTGGTTGCCTGATCCGAAGCAGTGCTGTCCGCATTAGAGACTGCTTGCAAACTGTCTCTGCTTTAATTAGTCGTCGGCCTTCAATTTATATCAATTTTTTTTAAGCAGGTATTCTGTACCGAAACGCTTCTTGTTTTAAATCAGCTTTAAGGATGTATTGGCTATACAGTCAATCCCAAAAGTTTATACACTTTAGAAACGCATTTTTTAAAAAGAAATCAGACGTCGAAAGAACATTGCTNATTCTTCCGACGTCTGATTTCTTTTTAATTATAGGAAATGCGTTTTTCTAAGGTACATGAACTTTTGGGATTGACTGTATAGCCAATACATCCTTAATTATGTTACGAGCTTCAGCACTGATCCTATCATACGTACGATGACGGATTTAATTGCTCAGGTAGCCGGTGTTGTTGCTATCGAATAACAGCCGTAACGAGGAATGAGCATCGTTAAACGCTTTAGTTTAGGATTTTCTCGCTTCGGCGGTGGCCGAGGTACCAATTCGGCAAAGGAGGCTGGGCTACGGTTTAAACGTTCAAATACGTACGACCGGGAAGTCGGTTCGAGCCGCGGAAGGCGGAAAACTTTCCCGAACAGCTTAATGAGCAACGCTTAGCTTCGCAGAACAATCGGGCGGACCTGCAGCAATTAAGAGCTCCGTACAGGAGGGGGCCGTAGTAGACGTAAATCAGTGGCAAGGGTGGTGGCAATGGTAGTAGAGTGTGTGCGCGTGATGCGTTCGATGGTTAACGTGTACGAGTGGTAAGCGTGTTGTAAATAAATGTGGATGGAATGAAGAAAGACGGCGTCTTCTAAGTTTGGAGAACGGAAACTCTAAAGTAACTCTGTACAATATATGTATGCGTGTATATATGTATACTTAGGGGAACGACCATCGCAAAACAGAGGGACTGGTTGCACGATACCTACTATCTACTGTGGGGTGGGTTACGTGTAACAGTCTTGAGAATGGAGTTTTTTTTGTATACTCGCCTTTCGATCGGCAAGACGACGAGTCTGTGTGCAGAAGTGACAAAAATTTTTAGTTATTACATTAATCCTATGTGTCGCTTGTGTCTCTATTCGTGTGTAACTCGAAATTAAAAAAATTGAGGAAAAAAACGAATGATTTAATTAAGCCAGGTGAGGTGTAATGCATAGCGCTGGAAGAGATGATATTCTGCTGGAAAAAATGTTCATCGTTGTGTGATTTATGGTATTGCAAGACATAATAATGTACGATGTAGAAAAAAAATGGTCACATTTTCATTATAAAATTCTATCACCAGACATCATCGTTTCCGTTGTACACCGCGAATTACACCATACCCGCATTAGGCCATATATTTTCCGTTTCAATTATCCGCTAAAAGTGGCTCTGTTATTGTCTCAAAAAGCTCGAAAAGCGTGAACTTCCCGTGCTCGTATATTCTCGCCCGGGCTTGACAAACGTTTGTTTGCGCTGTCGCGATATTTTCCCCTCCCTTTCTCCTTCTGCCTTCCCGTTTCACAACCGACCTGAATTATGACGTTAAAAAAACTGCACCGCCGTGTTTTCGTGAATCTATAGGATTTAATAAATCGACGGCCCTCTGTTACATCGATCAACGTTTGCGAAAGTTCTTAATCTTCGTCGCGACGTCAGAATGTTTTAATTCCACCGTTAGGAAGAGACAGAGTAAACGACAACAACACGTTCAAACAACAATGTGTCAAAACATTTGAAATTTTCAAATTGTTTCCCGTTGATCTATTTTCGTTCTTGTTCAACTCGAGCAGACGAATGAAACTAAGTTCAGAACTGACAACGTCAAAGCTGACAACAGGATGTCTGATCAATATTTTATCTACTTTAAATATTAAATGGATGAAGTTGGATTATTTTTTAGTAAATCTATTTTAGGATTCTACAGAAATCTAAGTCGTGAATTCGTGAACTATGGACTGGTTAATGAAGCTACCGTTACCAACAACCTTGAATAATTCTCCAAAAGCTAAAACGTAAGACAAAAATACATAAGAAGGAGGTCAGGAAATAATTCTTTAATCAGTAGATTGCATAAATGACACTTCGAAAGATTGGATTCAAATTCTAAGCTTCTTCTCTGTCGCATTATTCACTACAAATGAAGCTATACTAAAATTGATTACTCGATTTTACATTTATACCAGACGAGAATACACAGGCGATGGGGGAGCCAGCGGATGTATTCCAAAATAATTAACTTAATTCTAAAGATCACGTTCAGAGGTAAATTTGGTTGATCGATCTACTCACTTTAAAGACTCGATCACACGATTCTGCGGATCAAGCCATTGCATGTCCTTGATCAGCTTGACGTCGTCGACCTTCGGTTTGCACGTCAGGAGGATACTGAACCCGATCGGCTTCTCTTGCGTCTCTCCCATCGGCAGGATCTCCAGGGATGGTTCGTTCGCGTAAGCTGCAAAGACGAAAGTCGTTCTGATCGTGATCGCTCGTTATACTGACACGAAACGGATCGTTAGCACGACCCATTGGGGTGGAGAACGATTTTCAAGAGAAACGAGAGAGAGAGAAAGAGAGAGAGGGACTCCTTGCTGCGGTGGCAGTTGCTTTAATTGGCATAATTTCATGTAATTCCGTAATTACGATGTGATCTCGCCTGTCCCTGAAAGACGACAACGATTTTTACCAGGCGCCTCGCGTGTCACACACTCCTGTACACTGAAGGCCAAAAGTAAGTTCGAAATAAAAGTGCCCAATCTATTCATCAAGTTTAATCGTATACAAATTTTGTACATTAACTTTTGGCTCTCACTGTATCGTAACTCTTATCCGGATGTCAATTACGCGCTATCATTCGTCTAGTTAACTGCGTGCTAAGGGCCTATTCCTAACGCCTGATTTCGTACGTGGTAGATTAATTTTAACGAAGCGGCGGAATAAATTTTAGTACAGAAAACTCAACAGACATAATACAAATATTACGATATTCCATTTATGTCATATAACATTTAAATATGTAGTTGTCAGGATTATGCAATAGGATAATAGAAATGGTTCTACGCAATGAGATAGAAGACGGATAAAAATGAATATATGTAAACATGATCTCATAATTTAACTTCAGTGATAGCGGCAGGAGAATCGGTTCGTATCGCAAACTGAGATATACGGCTTATTTTCATATTTATGGTAATACCGCGTATGCCTGGGAGTATAAAACATTTGTTGAAACATATTGCGGCGTCTTGGAGCAAAGGGATCACCCAGAGGGCGAGAACGAGTAAAAACCGGTGCAAATTGACACAGAAAAATGCGACAAACAAGAGCGGATAAGAGGAACACGGTGGCGCACAAAGAGCAGTCGGGTGGGTGGGAAGCAAAAAAAATTGTCTGTGGTTTACGATTCTTTTTTCCGGGAACGCTCTGTGTCGTTCGTTGCATATAACTCGAAAAAAGAAATGTCATCCGTCAAGCCTCTGTAGTAGCATTTAATATCGCAGCATGACGTCCCGTTCCTTTGGAAGAAATATTAATGCACGAAACGAAGAGTTACAGAGTACGTAATTCTAACAGCATGCGTTTTTAAAAGCAAACTGTAATGATCGTGTCCATCATCGTACTGAAGGGTCTTCGACTTTCAATCATACTCCGCAGGTACATGTATTATTTCGAGACTAAGACGAAATACGTGGAAGCAGAGTATCGGGGGAAACAATAATTCTAGAGACAAATAACGTAATACAAGGAGGGGGATGACGTACGTACGTGTACAGGGGGTAAGAGAGAATTGTCTCTGACTCATGATTCGTTTCCACGATATCGTAAACTGTTGCGATATACAACACGCGTTGTGAGTCATAAGTGGTTTTCATGTAGCAAACCCCTAATCATAACGACTCGAGTTATTCGCGGCACGACATTAGCGTCGGCGCGCTTATCCCGTAGTGGGAAAATACGCTGCATACTAAGTTCTAGGAATCTGTAAAAGGAATCAAACGTACGTCTTCGTTTGGATTAACCGCGTATGCAAAACCTGTAAAAGCTGACGGTTGAACAAAGGAAATGCAGAAAAAAAAATAATCGTAAAAATTGTGGAGTCCTTTGTTCCTATAAAATTTCTGTATAAAGAGACCAATTAATTCATGGAATCCAAAGGTGGAAAATTTTTTACAATAAACATTTTTCTTGATTACTTTTCGACAAAAAATTTAAAGGACACAATCCTGCACAAAGTAGGGTAGTGGTTTGCTTTCTATTTCTTACTTCGATGGCAGTATATTCCTGAGGGCGTTCAAAGTACCAAGTGTAGATCCGAGCTAAGCTTTCAGACAAACTCCAATAATTACAATTTATAAATTGGTCCCGAATACGAATTGAAATTCTCCCATGACTGTATACTCTGATAAGGACAAATGGTAACGACATGGATAAGTATGACGAGCAATGGGGAGAGTTTTTACTACTTCTTACCGAGTCGGTTAATGACGCGAGGCGGCGGCGTGGCCCTGAGTACATAGACGCACAGCACGGAAATGCAGATCGACGTCTCGGCGGCGCTCATTCTCGCGACGACGTGGCTGAATGCCACGAGTGCTTTTACGACGACATACGCGCGTTAACTATGACGCCGGAATGTGGCTGGTTATGCCGGCGTGACACGCAACGAGCGAACTCGGGTGCCCCGCCGCTTCGGTACGCACAACAGGAAGCCAGAATTAAGCTAATTAATCGTGACGAGCGAAAGTACGGAATTGGCCTAACTAGGAAACGTTCCGAGAGACCGTGTACGCGGCTTCGCTTGTCGCCATAGAAGGATCAACAGTAATATTGTTTACTCGAATCGAATCATTTGTGTTAAACATTATTATCTTCAGATCATTGGAAAGTGATAGATTTTGATTGGATCGCCAGTCCGGTTAAATCTGTGAAAAATATATTTGCTTTTCAGTATCAACATTTGGAGAATATCTCGAAACTATATATAGAGCAGAACTATTGAAAATCCATTAATCCATGTAGTGCGATCGACTGGGAAGAGCAGACGTTGTTTGAAACAATTGATTCGCATAACAATTGGCACTGTTGCATAGCAATTCACCGAAAAAAGCACGGTAACATCTGTTTCATCCGGTGACGCGAAACGTGACTGACGTAACCCCGTCCGATGCGGGAACGTTACGAAAATTGAAACTGTGTCAAATGAAATACAACGAAAAAAAGTTGTTCTCGGTTTACAGCTCCATCGTGGGACAACCGCTTTCCACGACGTGGCGGCGTTAAAATATACCGGTCGGCGAAATTGCGATGCGGCAATTAATTTAATGGAAGAGGGACCAACGCCGCGACCGAACGAGACGCGCCCGCGGACGAAATTAAAGGGAAGAAACCCAGTCAGGCTACGCATATATAATTTCCGGTCCCTGAATCAGGCAAGGACGCGGAAAACGCCGTCGTGTAACGGCGGGCGTCTGTCGCAAAACTTCTTTAATTGAACCCCGAGATGCGTCGCGACTTTGACTTTAAATCTTGTTACGGGTACAAAACTTCCACCGTTGCGATTTGTATACTTAATAACAATGACTTTTTTTAAGCTGATAACATCGTATGAAAAGAATTTAACAATAACAGGTAACAGTTCACTACAGTTAATAGTCCTGATTCTACAAGCATTTTCTGTATTATGCAGTTACTTGTGATAAATTTCTGTCGCTTCTATAAAAAAATCAGTCTCATTATTTTGTATCAGTTCGCATGAAATTTGTTGCAGGGTGGATCAAGAAAGAAAAATATGAAGGGGATTTCTCTGACAATGAGATTCTTTCTATCTCGTGTCAATTTAAATTGTTGGTACAGCGTGAAAGATTGTAGTAGATGGGGTGGAAGAAGCTGCAGGCGAAGTTCTTAATAGACGTTTAAAGATAGTGACGGATGCACATCCGATAGAGAAACGGATACGAAAAGGATAAGGATGATAAATGTTTAACGGAATAAACAACGTCAAGAATTTACATTTAAAATACGTACGTCTCTGACGTCAAAACGGATACGTCACGCAGTATAATAAGAGTATAATAAATTTCTTACATCTCACAGACCGTGAAAAATCAAGGGGATAAGGCTATGAAACATCAAAGAAGCTAATTTACTAAGAACCTGCTATTATTCTCTCCATTACATTATTCTCTTTCAACGGGACACCCGATCCCGTCGCGAAGGATACACGTAGGAGGTAGTAGCCTATTTAACGAGTGAACCAGACGATACGTAATTCGTCCCAGGCTGAGGAGCCCGTGAGAGGAGATGATTCAAACGGAAAGTCCAATTTTCGGTCCCATGGCCTCCTCTCTTCATTTCGCGATAAGAAGTTCAGCAATCGACGAAGAGGGGATCCCGGGCAACGAGGATTACGCGAGCCCCCGAGAAACGTCCCGGCTCAGGCCGGGACAGCTTATTTGTTGGCAGTCCCGGGCTCGGGGAAACAACGGAGCAGCGGAGTCGCGATAAGGCTCGCGAATTCATCATTTCCGGATCGGTTAGTTAAAGGGGAAAATAGAGAAACGGGGTGACACGAGGGAAATATTTTCCTGAAGAGGCGGAAAAGGAAACGGGACATACTTCCCTCGGGCATGACTTGGCGAAGAGCAGACGTTCGATTATATAAATGAGATGCTCGTGGTAATGATCGCTCGGCAATCTCTCTCTCGTTGGCTACCTCCGGAATGGCCATTATCGTTGTTCCATTATCTCGTGATTTAACGAAATTTCCGGCTGGAACGCAGCTACGGGCTCCGGCCTGATGAGCCTCGCGTTTTAAACGCTATCAATTATCGTTAACTCCTTCGTCGTTTGCGCAAAAAACGAGGGTGTTGTGTGCATTAGGTCGACTTAAAACCCCGGCGTATTTATTCTCTTTATTCTATCGTTCTTTAGTCGTGCAATACAAAATTTGATTTATGCTGACTTTCGTTGATACACAAATCTTTGGCTGAGGAATTCTAACAGTATAAAGCGACGATCAGTTCAAAGTACACAGTTGTTAATCATCCCACTTTGTTTTCGGGCTGAGGTATCGGGCGCACCGTTAATATCAGACGGTGGCAGCCATATTTCCTCCGGCACAATACACGTCAACCACCCCCAAAAACTCCGCCATAATTTATGGCTTCGCGAGAGACACGTCACCTATTGCATCACAACAGGCCATCGGAAGGAGATCTCCGGCAAACCCGCCTACTCATCCCGGTTCCCTCGATCATTATAATGCTATACGAAACTCGTATCAGCGAACACGCCAAATCGAATCTGCGCGCACAAAGCCAGCCACTCCAAACGATCCAGTAATCGTTTTACAAATTCACCCGATTCGCTCCTCTATGTTTCCATAATAGAAATCCAAAGTCATTAATCCAAGCCCCGGAACCTGCGAGTTCATCGTTTCCAGCGAGATTTGGGCCGGCCGAATGTTCATTCGAGATCTTCGCAAAGAAATCCGGTAATTGAGGGTTCGCCAGGCTCGACTTTAGTCAGGGGGTTAAGAAGCCTCCCCGAGAATCGGACAGGGATCAGAAAAAAGGAAAAACATACCGGGGAAAAAAGGTAAAGGGACGAGGAGAGTGAAACAGAGAATGATAAGGACAAGAAACAGAGAGATCCGCCCTCGTAGGACATCTTATTTACGTTAGTTAGGGTTTGTTGGCATAGTCACCCCAGGGGCCATTCTATGGATCCGGCATTCTCTTTCTACAGGTCCTCTATTCCCAGATGCATACACGTTCAGTATATACGTATGTACCTATCCCAGCTTCCCTTTCCTAACTCCGCAAGGTCGCTATTACCTTCGCCCACGCACCGAACACCCTGCGTGCCACGCTATCAGCCTGATACGCGTGTACAGTACCTTCCAAAAAATTCGAGCGTACGTATACGAAATATTATTTTGACGATAACATAAAACTTGACTATTTCTGGCTGTATATGACTAATGCTGGCTGATAAATTCAAATTTGTACCCCTGATTTAGAATATCGGTTTTATGCAAAATCTGTTACATATTTTATATCTCGACCCGAATATTAAAGAACCGCTGTAAAGATAGATATAGTCATAAGAAATTTATTTTTTCAGAAAAGTAATACTGAGCAAAGATTTTTCGATCCTTGTGAATCTTGCATTTACTATCGGCAATCTCTGCGTTACTTACGCGATACACTGTACACGCGAGGCTCAGCGGGAGCCGGAACCAAGTAAACTCGGCGACATGTCACTCGAGCTGGAAGAATTCGATGTAGGGGTTCTGAGAAACGGGGAGGGTAGCTCAGGGCGAACGGGATAGAGAGGATTTGATCAAATTCCGATATCGAATTGGCCGGGTAAGGGTGAAAAACGAGTGGCGCCTCGTGGGGGTTTACGAAATTTTCGGATGTAGCTACTTGACGGAAACTTTTGCCCGCGTCGCCCCTGAGGAAAGTTTCCCGTTCGATCCGATCTACGCGCAGCTATTGCTGCTCCTGCCGATTGTTAGTTTTGATCCGTTCGGGGCATGGAAATGGACCGAGCCGTATATTGCGCAAAGTTTCGGGGCGGGCGGTGCCGAGGGCACGCGACGGAAACTCGAGATGGGAGGGGGGCGGAGGAACGCGAGAAGCTTGAAATCCAAAATTGAACTCCAGGCGTGATTGGAAATTCGGTCTCCCCCGCTGTCGCGCGAAACGAGTCCGCCTCGAACTTCACAAGGTTTATTGTGGATCGAGCATTGCCGTTTGCTGCTGCATTTTGCTCAACATATACGTCCGAGATTGTCTCTTGCACACTTTATTAAATTTTTCATTTACCTCGCTACTAGGTTATCTGATTCAACGAAAAGCAGTTGACAAATACAATATTAAGGAATATTTTGTACATCACGAAACGAATTTTAGGTGAACGATATTCTAAACTGCATAAGTGAAAATAATATACGAGGATTGTGGTTTAATATATTTTGACGAACACGATACGTGGAGAGATAAATTGGTACGCGGTTTAGTGAAATAAAATACGATTCAGTTATTTTCTTTCCTACATCGGGGGCGTGCAATGCCCTGGCTACTGAAATTAATTGAACAGTCACGCTTGCTGTACGGAAATCCATCAAAGGAAATTCCGTTGTTTCCAACTACGTAACACGTTAACAAATAGCACACAAAATTGTATTACTGATTTAATCGAACGACTTACTTTTCACCTACAAAGGCGCGAATCCGAAATCCAATTTTTCTAAAGCACAAACTAAACTCGAGATCCAACCCTCTACTTTCTCACACATCATTTCCTCCGAAGTACATCCTGAAGAATTTGCTGGCTCAATCCACCTGCTGACACACACAATTCAAAGAAGGCGGAACCACGGGAACTCGGGCATCATTCCCATAATCGAGTTCTCCGCTGTATTTAAATTGATCGTCGTTGCAGAGACAAAGGACAAGGGCCCGTATAAAGGGATGATACCGTCCCTTCTTCGGGGGACAAAGGAATCGTGGACGGGAAGATTGGATTCGAAACCGATACGTCGAATCGACGTAACGGCAGAAGACGTCGCCGGACCGCACCGTCTACTCCCCTTTG